ACGAGCCGCCTTACGGGGCTTTTCAACCGCCTGTGGCTGCTCAATTTCCTTCCGCTTCGAAGTCCTAGGCACCGCGCCCATCTTCTAATTTTTCTTGTCAGCGCGCGGCGCCTTCACGACGTCGTCAACCGACATCATGCTAACCAGGCTGGAGAAGTCAACACCTGCGCCAATAAATCGTAAGAGAGCGGTTAATATGATAGAATGCAAAAGAAAAGAAATACAACTAACCATCGCCAAACAGCTCCTCCAAACAAGCCTCGCGGACTCCCCCGCGTATAAATTGATCCTATGAGGCATGCACGCCTCATACTCATCGTTGAGCCCGTCATAGTTGCCGGCATCCGACTCATATCCGAGCGTGCTGCCTTTCTTCCACACAGTAGGCTCCTCCGCAAACTCACTCGCCCACTCTCCGGGAGTGGGCTTGACGTAGAAAAAGCGCTCGAACCAAGTTTTCTTCAACTTGGGCGATCCATACACGAAGCCGTCGGGCCTGTTGCCGCGACACTTGATGGAAAGGCAGTCGCTTCTTGTTGTTGGCTCCTTGATTTTATATATCTTCCGGAACAGGCCGTAAGTTGGCTCGATGTTAAGCCTTTTGCACGCGAGGCGGAGACAGCTCGCGTGCATGATGACGGACGGGGAGAGCCGCCCAACGGAGCAGTTAAGGCGCCTATACAAAGCGCATAATAGCGGGTCGATGGGGAACTTGAACCCCATCACCCAATACTCTGTATAAACGCCAAACCACCCCGGGGGGCAATTGCCCACCATGCTTCGCGTAGAAGGAGCGGCGTACTCCCAATGGGGGGGCAAACCCAGTCCGCGGACTATCTCCGCCACGTCATCAACATCGTATATAGAGGCGTGTTCGGGCCCGCTCTTGAGATTTTCGTGCGGCGCTGGCTGATCGCCCCACATCTCTGCCCATTCTATAACAGTGTACGCGGTGCCAACACCGCGTAACCCCAGCCGGGCCATGGCCTCTGACACGCGCACAACATGATGCGGCTCTGATTGTGCGCCAGAGTCTTCGCGCGCTTCATCGGTGGCAACCCCTGGCCTACCGTCACCATCACGCCGGATTATCAGCACTCCACGAGCTCCTTGCCTCGCCTGCCCACTCCCGGAGGCAACCATACCCACGTAGGAAGAACCGCCGAGGTCATTCTCCGACTCGACGTCGAACGACGGCGTCGCCGGAATCCCTTCGTCACCGCCGCCGTTCCCATCACCGGAACCGCCGTTCCCATCACCGGAACGATCAGTAGAAGTGTGCGAAAGAGGGGAGAGATTACCTTCTTCGCCTTGTACGACCTCGGCCTCGTCGATGTTGATGCTAGCCATGATAATAACTCGAGCTTTAGCAACAGCAAAAGGAGAATTGAGATTGTAGAAGAAGGAGAGAAATCTCGGAGAAGGGATGAACGAAGAAATAGGAAACAGAGTCGAAGGAAACAAGTGAGTCCTAACTCCCCCACAGTAAACCCATATTTATAGTCGGCCAGGGGAAAACGAAGGGTTAAAGTCACATAGGGATCCGTAACCGTCAGATCCTACCAAATCTTTTCGGATTTCAAAAAAATCCCCGCCCAAGTAGCCCAATCATGCAGGGACACGTGGACACCTACCATCATAGGCACTAGTCGATGACGCCACAAGTGCCGCGCACCGCCTGGGGGGCATGACACACCCGCGAGGAAGAAAAAACACACCCCAAGCCCAACTTCGATCGCGCACAAAAATCAAATAATCGCGTGATCAGTACAACTTCAACAGTAAACGTCGCGCGCGACATTCGCACGACCCATCCTCAACTTAGAAGTAGCGCGCACAAGTGAAGAATCCCACAGAAACCGCGTGATTAACACAACCTCAAGCGCAAGTGTCGCGCGTAGCTCAAAGCAACGGGCACAACGAGCGCGAAGAATCCCACGAAGATCAGCGCGATCGGTAACGAACCCGGAAAATTTACCCCGCAGAGATCACGCAGGCCCGAGTCAATCAAGCTGAAATCTAAACAGGTGGTATTCACAGAACACCCCCTGATGGGGGGCAATTGTTGGGCATGTGACTCGGACCTAGCCGCGCCAGAGGAACGCACCGATACTACCCCAAATCCCGCCAAACCCGTCAGGACGCGCCGACGACCGAAGACCTCCAGCGTGGTCCAGCGCGAAGACCCCAGCGCGGTTCAGCGCGAAGGCCTCGAGCGCGACACTGCGAAGGCGAACCGGCTTTGTCTTAGCTGTATTGGTTTCCTTTTCGCATTAATAAGAGAAACTGATTCAACGAAGAAAAAAAACTCGTGAAATCAAAGTATCAAACCCTTATTATTTGTTGGTTCTCACTTGCTGTATTAGTTAACCGCATGATGATTTGGTTTTCATATTTTACATACATTTTGGTTTGAATTAAGTGTTTTAGCAATGATTTTCTTAGTGGTACTTGAACCACAACTTGTTCTTATTGGAGAACAGGACCAAGCCTGATGCAGCAGTAGTGTGCACAATGAATGACTTGAAGAATAAGGAGTTGCTATTGTGAAAGGATGAAATCGACGAACATATCAATGATATAAATATGTGAATGAAACGGTGGTGTTGTGTCTTCAACTAATGGTGAGCTCAGAACACCACCGTTTTCCTTGATCCGTTTACAACAAAGAAGGAACGTCGACGTTTAGCCACTGAAGACTCAAACAGTGTAATTAGTTAAGCTAAGACACGTGGTTGGTCTTGAGTGGATAGTTTAATTAGTTAGTTTCCTTTTACTGTTTAATAGTCGTTGCTTAGAAGTCCTTAATGTAACTCTGTATAGCTTAGTTTGGCCCTGCTGTAGCTTTTGCAGAAGCAGCTTTTGGCTGGAGCTTTTAGATAAGTACTTTTCAAAAAAAGCAGTTTAGTGTTTGGCTGTAAAACTATTAGAAGTGCTTTTTAATATGAGCGGTTGTGTAAAATGACTATAAATGACTTATAATATAAAATATAAATAAAAATTTGAAACAATAAAAAGTAGTCAAAATGGATCTTGTTAGATTTCTTTTATATTAAATAATATGATTTTATAATTTATTTTATTTTTAAAATGATATAAATGAAGGAAAATTATATTTTCTGAAATAAAATTAAAATATGGTAAGGATAATCTTGTATTTTCAAAACAGCTTTTCGCAGAAGCTCCAAATCGGAGCTTCTGCTTTTATGTTATACAAAAGCGCTTTTCGGCTTTTCAAAAGCCGAGCTTTTAGAGGTGTTTGGCCCTGCTTAAGCTTTTGAAGCCGAAAAGCACTTCTAAAAGCCGGGCCAAACATAGGCTATATATGGTGGCGTATATACCGTATATACTATATATACGGTGGCAACGACTATTGGATGCACCCACTTTTTCGGGTGCACTCAATGCACCCGCCTCATAATTGTCATTCTGAGTATGCGATTCATGTCAAAACGGTATCAATTGTTGCTTATGATATTATGAACAAGAAGCACTTGAATTTGAAAAAAATTCATTCAAAATTTACTTTAATTCGAAGGATTTAGGATTTAGGGATTTAAGGTTAGGGTTTAGGTTTACAATTTGGGATTTTGGGTTGGGATTCAAAATTGAAAGTTAAGGGGTTAGGGTAATAGATTAATTTGTTATGATTTTATTTCATATCATTATATTAGATTGAGAGTACTAATTAAAGTTCAAAATTTGATGTATTATGGACACTTTTAGAGTTGGGTGTACTGAGTGCACCCAAAAAAGTGAGTGCACCGAAGTAGCCACCTATATATATGAGAAAGCCGGAAAAGAAGAACTCAAGTTTTTTAGATCTCTTCACCAAAACCCTAACCCTAGCAAGTCTATTTTCTTCTTAGTTCTGGAATACTAGCAATTGACTCGAAGTAGGTGGAAGGGAGCCTTAGAGAATACATCATCATGTTTGCTAACTCATAATATTCTTCAAGCAAATCCAAGTTCTCTTCATAGTCTCTCAGCATCTATAGCAAAGTCGTCACTCCTGATTCGATGCCTGACTTTTTCATAGCGTTTTTCCATTATCGTTTGTTGTTTGACGACTTCACATTGGCGGGTTCACTTAGAGCCAACAAACAATGTTATGAAAGTTATAAACAGGCAGCCAAAACCGTTATAAATTTTATTAGTTACATGTGGAAATTGTAAAAGATTAACTTTTCACGTCACTTATTTAATAGTCAGTTATAATCATTGACTGCCACATAAGCTAACTTTAATAGAGATGGACGGCCAATGACCATATTTGGATTGTTAAACTAATTTCAGTGACCATAAATGAAATATAATATTTTTTAATGGCAAATATAATTTTTTTGGGTAAATGCCACATTTGGTCACTGAGATTACTAAATCATGTCATGTTTAGTCACCAGAAAAAGTTAATATAAATTTTGGTCACTGGAATTACTGAAACATGTCACATTTAGTCACTCTCCCGTTAGTTTCCATCCAACTCCATTAACAGAGTTGGACGGAGGCTAACGAATAGTGACTAGATGTGACATGTTTTAGTAATTCGAGTAACATTCATAAGAATAAAAGTAATTCGAGTGACCGGAGTTGGACGGAGGCGAACGCGAGAGTGACTAAATGTGACATGTTTTAGTAATTCGAGTGACCAAAATTGCAAGTTGGACGGAGGCGAACACTTCTGGAAAAAAACTTTTGTAAGTACACAAATGATATAGAAATAGGTTGTCTAAAAATAGCATAAATGTTATTAATGTAATAAATAAAGAGTGAATTGTAACGAGTAAAGAGTAAGTAATACAATGCACAAACCAAAACAACCCGTAACCCGCTGTAAATCAACCAATTTACAACCGAACTGACCTTTAATCCGAATGACACAATCACAACTAACCCGCAATAAGATGGACTCTTAACCCTATTGAGCCCAACCCGAATCATCCAAACCCGCTCGATTGACACCCTAACCCTAGGGCCTAGTCACATCTTATGTGCCTCCTCGCCAACGATGCAACTACCGAGAACATTAACTGGACAGAGAACAAGACACTCCTAAGTCCTAAAGCCCATACCTCATTCAATGTGGGCCGAACAAGGAGAACGAGCCGGTTGCGACCCGAAAATACTCCCACCTCTGACCCGAGTTGATTTGTCAGCTGACCTCCGGCGTCTAAACCCCTAAGCTAAGCGCCATTCTTTTCCGAGCTCCCCCTCCTTCCTCCGTAAAACCCCATCTCCGATCCACCAGCTGAAACCGACGCGACAAAATAGAAGAACCAATTCACCAGACGTGAAGAGCACAAAGATGGTGAGCAAACCATGGAGGATAATCCCGCGGCCATTGCTGGAAACAATCCTGAACAACCACGCTCAGCACCACCGAGTTCAGCAGCCTCTCATCCTACACGGCCCTCGCGGCGTCGGCAAAACCACCCTCATCATTGACCGTGAGAAACTCCGGCGGATTCTCCCCCTCCATTTTGGCTGATTCCGGAGCAAATTAATGATGATTCCATTTCTTTGCTGTGTCCCTCTTGCAGGTCTATTGAACGATTGGAACAAAGGTCCCCACGTCACCGGCTATGTAGATTTCGCTGAATCTGTGAAGGATCATCACCCAAAGCACGGAAATTCTTTTCCATGGGGTTCGTGGTCAACCTGCAACCCGCCGGTTGTCGCCGATTGCGCGACCCAGTTGGAGAGTTGCCTTGAATCCATGGCCCAGAAAGCGATTCAGCTCGGCAGCATTTCCTCCACTCAAATCTTCTCCATTGTCAGCAAATGGCACCTTCCTGACACCGCGCTTCGCCGGATTATAGTCCAGAATAGCGCCGGCGTTGCTTCCAAATCGAAAAATGCAGTTTCTGAAAAGGTTTTCGGGTCAGTTCTATGGGACCGGGCAGTGTTCGCGCTAAGTGCTCGATCAAATGCAAGGGAGATGGATAAATTATTGAACTTGGGAGAGAAGGGGAAGAGAAAGTTGTCTGTTGATGAGACTTCTTACTACAGGGAAGCCTTGGTTGCGCTGAGATTGGCGAAGGAGGTTATTAGGGCGATGCAGAGTTCGAGAGGTAATGCCATTGCTCAATTGAATCGGACTGGTGGGTTCTCTAGGTCGCTGGCGAATTCTTGCACGGATTGGCCATGTTTGTTGCTTGAGTTGTTGTCACAAGCTGCCGAGATTGATTACTTTCAGGTAAAATATTAGAGTGGGAGCCACAGTTGTTCATTGAATTGGGTTAATATATGTCGGTTGATGTATTGATTAGTGCTTCGGTTTGCAGCCGAAGCTGGTGATAAACAATATCGAGGTGCTGAAAAATGCTTTGTTAAATGATGATAAGATGGTGTCTGGATCAATGTATCATGACAGTCTGATATGGAGAATCATTGCTTTGGGTGCCAATGAGAAGTGTCTTCCCGTTATGCTTGTGACTTCTGATAGGTCGGTTTTCTGTATTTATTAACTAATGTCCAACATTCTGTTTCAACTGGGTGTATTGTTTTCCCAAGTGCTGCTTCACTGGTAAAGTGAAAATGGTTTGAAATGGGTATCATTCTACATGCATCTGCAATTGAAACGAAATGTATGCTCGTTGTTGACTGATTTGTAATGATAATTCTAATGAAAGACTTGTTCTGCAGCTACTATTCTTACAGGGCTTTCATGGATTTCGGTTTTCCAGATATATTTATCTCTAGAGAGGTACTGAAACTGCTGCTGCATTTATTTCATATGTTAGTCTGATCGAGAACATCCATTGGGCTTGAGATTCATCTGGTTACTGTGATGAAAGCACTCATCTTTTTTAGCAACCCCAACTCAAAATAGTAGTTTATTTATCTCATGTAAAAATAGGATCTTGTGATTTATTTGCTATCGATCTCAATCGTTACCAAGATGAAAGCACTCAGTGATTTGAATTTCACTGGTGATACCCTTTTGGTTTAGTTTTGTGTTAAAAACATGCCAACAAATTCATTACTGTTCTCGTGCATGTATACTGGAAGTAATTCTCATGAAATGAATCCACATGTTAGGGCATGCATGTCTATTGGGGGATTCAGGTGACGGCGTTGCTTATGTAAAATTTCATTTCTCTCCAGACCTTTGGTTGGACTCCAATGGAGGCTGAATTGCACATGATTGCAGACTACTTCAGTCAATCAGAGGTACAATTTCCTCAACCCTGTTTGCTTGTCTAGACGAGCCTTGTCTGAACAGAAAGTTGTGATTTATCTTTAAGAAGATAGAAATAGTAGTCTAAATCTCCCTCTTGAAGAACATATGAAAATTTTGCCTTGGATGCATCTGATGTTGCTAATATATTTTGGTTTCACTAATTGGAGTTCTGATCTTGTTGATTTGTAGTGGAAAGTGATAGTTGAAGTGCTTGGGCCAAGCCCTAGGCATCTTTTTGAACTTTATGCACTCAAGCAAAGCAGCTATTACCAGAAGTAAGAACATGTATGTTTTGTTGGCATAAGGTTCTCTAATGGATCATGTCTAGATATAAACCTTGTTCATTTTGATATGTTTTTCAGTAATCAGAGCAGTCCAATTTAGTATCTTAGTTGCACCTCGAATATCTTAGGCAGTCTCATGGTATTCTTCAAAGGGTCAGAAAATTTTACCATCTTCATCGGGACGAACCAAATCCTGGTCCTGCAATGATAGTCATAGAAGAAATCTCTTGATGGTGATAGAAATTTCCGTATGGCTTCTTATCTGGGTTTTTGTTGCAGGGTACTGGAGGACAAGGATAACACATTCGAGGATATCATTGATGCATATTTAGCTTATCTACAGGTGAGTCTTATTTCGTTTTTCATTGTAGTTTCCTTTTTCAAATTTTAATTTGTAACCCTGTTTCGCTTTGCATGAGACTGAGGCTATCTTTTTCTTTCTTTAATTAGATAATTGTTGTAAATCCTGCAATGGATAAAGCCATTGCGATCCTCCAGAAGTTTGCCGAGGATGCAAGAAAGGGAAAAATTCCAAAAGATAAGCTGCGATTTGGCTCTTCTTGGAGGCATCCTCCTCAAAGAGATGATCCTATTCGGTCCTCCAATTGGGCCAAGCTTCAACTCATGGATTTTATCCAGACGTTAGCAAACACTGAATTTGGGGTACGTGGCTTTTATGACATTCTGAACTCGTTAAATTGACATTGTGCTTTATGGTTGACAGGGTTTACATTTATGCCCTGTGGTCTGGTCTCATTAATGAACGTTTTATTATATGTAATCAAAATGAATTACACATAACTTGCTGTTAGGTGGTGATGGTCCAGTCTAGAATCTGACCAAAACGATATGGAATTGGATCATAAGTAATGGAAAAATGAGGACCAAAGTAAAATCAAAAGTACATTTGGTTTCGTCCAGTTTGATGCAGTCTGCATTTTCCTTAATTTTAAGAGGATCTATGGAATGGAAACCGGATTGTACTAATATCCGTTCCCCCATCCGATTTGGATTTAAATGTGTTCACGGCCTGACTCAGTCCTGTGTGAAGTGACTCCTATTCTTTGTTTACTTGGTGTGTTCAACATCGTGTAAATTGACACCATCTACATGTTTTCGAGATTTAAGCACATTATCCCTTTCTAAGGAACTTTATTCCAACCGAAAACCTCCACATCAAAACCAGAAAAAAGGAACTTTATTCCAAGTTGGTACTTGCAGGTTAATTATCTAGCTGATTGTAGCTTGGAGATTCTGGATGATCCATGCACAGGGGCATTGATTGAGGTTGGCTTGTTATACGCTCAGCGTGAACCATCCTTCATTCGACCCATATCTAGAGGAATTCAACGGTGTCTAGCAAGATGGTAAGTTGGGGAGTCTGTTCTTTTTCGCATCAATTTCCATCGTTGGACAAGTGTTTTGCTAAAATGGTTTTACTACATACAATCCGACTGTACAGGCTTGTGAAGGAGAAGATGCAAATGGATTTCGGGTCCTCGTTCCAGTTCTTGTGGCAACGGTTAATACGTGGTCGTAGCTATCGCCATCTGATGCTAGAAGTGGGTTATAGTAAATTTTAAAATTGACGGTATGTCGTCTCTCTAAACTCTAGGTAGACTTGCCAAGATGAGCGATATTAACAAACTTTACATTCTATCATCCAAGGAGATAATTAGTCTACCGAAAGGCTTCTAGTCTGATGGTAGCAAGGCAGCATTGCGTCACCCTTGGTGGACTCCCTGCTTGTTTCCATTCTCCCCTTAATATTGCAGTTGTAGTTGTTGACTCTATCTAATGCAAGCTGATTTAAGTTAAAACTGTTTTTTCACAGGACGTGCTGACTTGCAATGCTTGAAGTTAAATTGAGTTGCTTAAATTAGTTGCAGTTGTAAAGACTTGTTTGTGAAGTGCCAATTGCACCACAAAAGATCAAGGTTCAAGTCCAGAGAGGTGTTGACGTCCAGTTGACCTCGTACAAAACAGAATGTGGCCAGATTTTGCAGCTGTCGGTAAAAGCGCCCAAGGCCCAGTTTGAGGGAGGAAGGTGCCGATTTCTGTAAGTTCTGCGTGCATTTTATCTATTCGTACTGATCTGAGTTATCATGTAACAAATTCAATTGCGTTAGACTTCTACAGGATACTCTCTGATTAGTGAAATTCCTCTTGTAGGCTGCTTAGCATCAACTCCTTGGCGTGGAATAACACGAAGAGTGGGCTTTCGTGCTTCGACTTTTAATTCTGTCTTTGGTAAAGATACATTTGATCACTGGCTCCCATAAATTGACAGTAGGCCCCCAATCGAATAATTGTTCATAAGGTTTAACAGTAAACAAAAGATTCATTACCATGTACTTTATTAGTGTTGTATTCTACTCGAAATTGGGAAAAGGAAAGATCCATACTCTTCACATACTGATTGTTATAGTAATCATATACAAAATATACGGCTTCCCCCCTCCCCTCTGTTCCTTATCTCTATTCTTCACTTTTTATTTTCCAATTCATATGAGTGAATTAGCTTCTGCTGGCTTAAAGATCCAGTGCTTGAGAGTAAAGCTTGCTGTTAACAGTGATATTCCACTGCCTAATTGTTTCTTGTGGGATCCAAGAAGATTTACTATGTGCCCATGTGTTAACACCTAGAATTAATTTGTCCGGAATTAAATGCCGCATTAATTAGTCTCGGCATTTAATTCGATACCGCAGGTTAAAAAACGGCATCGTTTGGAGTTAAAACGGTACCGCGAAACAGAAAAACGGTACCGCAAGGAAGCTCAGCGGTACCGCAACACCGAAAACGACACCGCAGGCCGAAAATAAAGAGGCCGCTCGCTTAATGAAGGGTGAGAAGGAATTGTGATTATTTAATTATTATTTGTTATTCCTTTGGAGTAAAACGGTACCGCAAGGAGGCTCAGTGGTACCGCGGTACTGGAAACGATACCGAAGAATAAAAAAAAGAAGGGCCGCGCGTGTGGTGTCTTGTGGGAGAAGGAGTTTTGTTTTTAATTAATTAATATTTTTAATCCTTGTTGGAGGAGGAAAATCGGTACCGCGAGAGCTTGGCAAGCGGTACCGATGGGCAAGTGACCAAAATTCACACGGCCCAATGCGAGCGCCGACTCCGGCGGTACCGTGGATTAATATTTTTTGGCTAAATCGGCGGTGTCGTTTAATTTAAAACGGTACCGCGAGTAGACCCAACGGTACCGCGGAATAGCAAACGACAATGTTTAATAAAAAACAATGTCGCAAAAGGAAAAACAAACGGAACCGTTTTGGCTCTAACGATGTTGTTGGACGTGGGCTAGTGATGGTCAGTTAATTAATATTTTAATGACTTTTTAGCACGGTGTCGTTAGTTGGAAACGATGCCGCAAAGGAAAGGAACGATACCGCGAGCAGGCCAAACGATGCCGCAACCGTTAAAACGACATTGTTTAAAATTAAAACAGTGTCGCGAAGCTCAAAAATTCAACGACATCGCGGGACAAGGAAACGATGTTGTTTAACTGAGAACGACGCCGGGGTGAGAGTTTGACGGCGAGTTAGTATTTTATTATTCTTTTAGACGGTATCGTTTAATACGATGCCGCGGAGAAGTAAAACGACACCGTTTAAGGCATCAACAACGCCATAGTATTACTAAGCGATGTCGTTTTGTTAAAAACCATACCACGATGGTTTGGATTTTGGCGAGTGGCCCGGCAAGCTCAACGACACCGCAAGACAAGAAAAACGGTACCGTTGGTAGAGAACAATGTCGTGGAATGAAAACGACATTGTTTGATGGGACCGGGGCGGAGCAGTTCAAGGTCGGCATCGATTAGTGAAAAACGATGTCGCGGAAAGATTAAACGATGTCGCAGGAGGTATCAACGACATCGCGGTATCATAAACGATATCGTTTGATTAAAAACGATATCGCAGTGGTTAGGAGCTCGTCCAAAAGTGGCCCGCCAAGCTCAACGACGGCGCAAGTCTAGAGAACGTCGTTGTTTGATGGACTAACAATGTTTAATCGGGTCGGGGCAATTGAGTGGGATTATAAAACGGCATCGGTTGGTGAAAGGCGATGTCGTGGTATTGGTGAAACGTCAGCGTTACATGGACAAGGTTGTAAGTCGTTTTGCCAAGTTTCTGCAAAGCAAGAGCGGTTTCGAGGGCACGTGATTATCACGCAACAAGGAGGAAGTTACCTGCACGGTTGACAGGAATGGAGACGTGGGAGACAAAGGCGCCAAGGCGGTTACTACGACGGGGAGAAGCGCGAAGTATAAAGATTGGGAAGAGAGAGAAGCTAAAGACGGCAAAATCAAATCACAACTGCACCATTGCAGAATTATCTTTTTTCTCTCTAGTTTCGTAGAACCGCTCTGTCAAAGAACTCCTTTGCAGAGTCGTAGATCGTAGCTTGTAGTCGTAGTCGCGGAGCTCTCCAGAGGAACCTCCATAGGAGTAGAGGTAACGTAACTTAGAACACTCCTGGTTCGATTCTCTGTTTATTCGTCGAACACCCTCGTTCGAACGTAGTTTGGAGAGGTGTTGAACCGAATAACAGTTGTTTGATTAGAAGTCAAAGGTGTATCGATCAAATCAACGACGCCGATACCGGCGGCGGCCATTTGACGATCGTCTTGGTTTCTGCTTTAATCGATCAAATCAACGACGCCGACTTCGGCGGCGGATATTTGACGATTTTGCTGATTTCGTGTTTGTGTTTTAATTGAAAACAGTGCGCATCGAACACGTGAAGTTTCGCCAACGAAACAAATTGGCACACCCGGTGGGACACGTGTGTTCGAATGGCTCCGCGGAGGAAGAATCACGAGGGCGATCTTCCACCAACTTCAGTGGAGGAAGAGCCAATGGTCAATGTAGAGACTGACCAGAGTGGCGGTTCACACGGCGGTTCGAGCAACGACGCCGGAGGGGAAGTGCCAGCAGTGGCGCAGACTGCCAACCAGGGTGAGATAACACGCATGCTTCGCCAAGTCATGGCTGATAACCAACAGGTAAAACTTCACTTAGCCTCTTTGGATGGACGTCTTGATGGTCTTAGTTCTCGGATTGATAGACGTGTTAGCCAACTGGTTGAAGTCGTTGATAAAAACATAATGGATTTTGAAAGTAACAGACGTGATTTTAATGATTTTAGAGAGTTTTTGAATAGGCCAGTGCCGCAAACAAGGGCTTTGCCGTTAAGCGGCGAGAATCCGTTACACAACGACACTGGCGCCTTTCCGGTCAATGGCGGCCGAGATACTCAGCCGAGATAGGGCGTTTCGCCGACACCGGTGGTGAACCCAACAAGTCCGTCGAGAGTAAATCTTGGCGAGACCAGCACTGCGGCTAACACTCGTGTTGAGCCGCCACCAGTGCACAATGTGGGTCCACAAAATATTCCGGAGGCCAGACCCTACGTGGCTCCGATGAGCGGTGCTGGTGGTGGAGGAACGATCAACAATGATCATGTTCCGCCACGCGGCTACCCACAAAACGTGCCCCCTCCTCCTCCAAATGGGCTTGGCATGGATCCTGGTGGATTCGTACCACAAGGGGGGCAACTCGGGGGGCAAGACGTTAACGCGATTCGAGATCAAGTAGCACAGATGCTGGCGGATCAGTTTGGTTTAGGGATTAGACCAGCGATGCCGCCGGTGTATCGAAAACCATATCCGGATTGGGTTGATAGATACTACCCCTTTCCACGTGGTTTTCGCGTGCCTGATTTCATCACTTTCAGCGGGACTGGGGATCAGTCCACCGTCGAGCATGTTGGACGATTCACGGTTCAGTGTGGTGATGTGAGTGATTTCTTGAAGTTGCGTTTGTTTGGCAACTCGTTGACCGGCCCCGCATTCGCGTGGTACGTCAACTTGCCATCGAACTCGGGATCAGGACTTGGCAGCTCTGCACATAGAGAGAGGAAGCGGTCGAGGCCTAATGCCTGCCATTGAGATGCAGTTGTGGTATCATGGGCCAACCGACCATTCCAACGTTGGAAGTCGGGATCCGGGAGGGCCAACGTTAGGGCTCGGGTCTTCCATTTAAAAAGGGGACTGATATCGGGAAGACGAAACAGAAGCTGGGAATCGTGTATTGGAAAAACGTCCAATAGCTCCATGATGGCAGTGGTTCGGTCATGGATGAGTGGACCAAGCCAGCCCTCCTCATTGTCGTCTCTCGATACTATCTCAAGAGTAAAGTCAGCATCGGCTAGGTTTCCTAGGAAATCCCGTCGTTCCCCCGGAGATAACGGGAGGAGAGCCACGGCGAGGCTGCATTCGCAAAGAAGTGAGTTGGGTTAGTGATGCAGCGGCGGCTATTCACCACAACAGGCATTAACGGGGAGAGAACAAGGCTTCGATATTAATGTGGAGTTAGGGGAGCAGAACTTACTCGGCGATTGACGAGAACCCGGGCAATGACATGACGATGACTTCAGCGGCGCAGAGATCTGAGGTACGGTTTTCTGCTCCGTTGTTGGTTGAAGTTTGTTTTTCCTTTTACGTGGATAAGTGTAGGGTTGGCACTCGTGACCTATTTATGGGGAGTTGTCACGGCGGAGTAGAAAGAAATAGTGTCCTTGTTGGTTTAGGATTACGACGTTGGAAGGGATTAGGAAAAGGATTCTACCCGCATCAGTTGGCGAGAAGAGGATTGCCACAAAAAATTTTGGTGTTTAGTAAAGCAGCATTGAGCCTAAACAGAATGTTCGCGGGCCGCTACAGTGTGACTCTGCCACGAGTAGAGTTGTTTTCCCCAAAATCAACGCCGCGAGACTGGTTGTAATAAAAAAAAAAAAGACGAAACAAACATGCTTTGGGACAAATGGCGGTGTTGAAATTTTAAAACAGTGTTGGGGAAGGTTACGTTGTGGCAAAGGATTAGCTCAAATTTTTGTTTATTATTATTAATATGGCCGAATGATAAAAAAAAACAATTTTAGACAGAACCGCCGCTGTTGCTAGCAGCACTGGCGAAGAGAAAAAAAGAGAGTCCAAGTATTGATGGAAAGCTTGCCGCAATGTTGGAGAAAAAATATATATAATAATTAATCATGCAGTCCTGCGGCTGTTTCCCCAGCAGTGATAAAAAAAAATTTCTCAGTTCTGCCGCAGCAGCCCTGGCGGAAATTTAAAAAAAAAATATATATATAAATAAATAAAAGAAAAGAGTCTCAGCGTTGGGCTGGCGGAAATTTACATGCCTGAATAAAAAAAAAAGGGAAGTAGAGGCGGCCATATACAGCGCTGAGGAGGAGGGTGGAAAAAAAAAAAAACTTGCAGGCAGAGCTGCCGCGGGTGCTAGCAGCGCTGGCAAATAAAAAAAAATCGCAGCGATGTAAGCAACGCGGATGAAAAAAAAAAAGGAATTTCTCTTGCCGCTGTTGCAACCAGCGTTGGTGGAAAAGAAAAAACGGCCACGCAATATCGCGGCTGTGG